GAATGTACAAATGTGCTTTACACAATTGAAATATGTATGGATTGTGATAAGAGTTGTATGAGCCCCTAATAAAATGATTTAAACAAATAAATGTGTTCCTATCTCTCAGAGAAAGGACCTGGTTGATATGAAACACTCAAAAGGATGAAGACTAGAACAGGTTTATCAAAGTTCCTAACTCCCCCTCTTTAATACCAGCCCCTAGTAACCTTTGCATCAAAAAATATGAAACCGAAGACTTCAATCAGGTGCCTTGGATAGATACTGTGATTGTGGACTAGAAATCATTCTGCCATTTTCCTAGAACATTTATAAAGCTGCAATAGCATATAGTATGCAATGGGGAAAAGAAATTTGTGAGAAATAATTTTTAAACCCTTTGAAATCTAATAAACATAAATGAGTCTACTTTCCATAAATGTTTACCTAAATTACTGTCACTGTCCTTTATATACTAACTCCTACTATGTTGTTGTGTCTTTGAGTCGGTTCCAACTTACAGAGACGCCACAGACAGAGAATTGCCCTGAAGGACTTCCAAGCCTGTAATCTTTATGAAAGCAGTTTGCTACATCTTCTTCCCACAGAGTGGCTGGTGAGTTCTAATCACCAACCTTCAACAAGCAGCTAACAACTTAACCACTACTACCTCACTGCCATTCAGTCGATTTTGACTTCCAGGTAGAACAGAACTGCTCTCCTTTAGGTTTCTGAGGCTGTAAATCTTTATGGAAGCAGAAAGCCCTGTCTTTCATCTATGGAGTGGCTAGTGGGTTCAAACTGATGATCTCCAGCCCAACATGCAATCCACTGTGCCATCAGGACTCCTACTTCTACTAGAAAAACAAACAAACTCACTGCCACTGAGTCAGTGCCAACTCATAAAGACCCTACAGGGCAGGGTAGAACTGCCACTGTGAGTTTCCAAGACACTTTACAGGAGTAGGATGCCCCATTTTTCTCCCAAAAAGCAGCTGATGGTTTTAAGCTGCTGGCCTTGCAGTTGGCAGTCCGATGAATAACCACTACGCCACTAAGGGTCCTTACTTCTACTACAGGACCTATTTTTTATAATATTTAATTAGTATCATTTTTCAGCTTATTAACTCAAAAACACTAGAAACATATTTTTCATAAAAATGTGTGATTAGTCTTTCCTGCCAATCCATTTATTTCTTTCAGATGTCTCTTTATAGTAACATTAGAAGTCTCTTCTTAGAAGTTTAAGTGACTTGAACTATTAATATAAGTCTTCCAAAAAGCAGCAAAAGGAGAGTGAATGATTCTTAAAACATAAGAAATATCCTTATCTTTCTAAAATAAAACATGCTTTAATTGACATGGTTAAACACTCCTTTGGTCCCAAATAATGTGTAAAATTATCTTTCTATGAATAAAAACTATTTAAATGATAAACTTTCTAAGAAAGAAGCTTATGATTTAAATTATGCTGCTGAAACATAGGACTCTAAACTGTAAAATAATGTTTTTTAAGGTATTGAGTATTATCAGATAATTACAGTCTTCACATGTTCTGTAATTTGTATATTAAGATGTAATTAGTTTTTTAAGATGTCATTAGTTATTATAGCAGTTTATTAAAAATTACGTTTGAAGAACTTTCGGGTGTTTGGTGGGAAGAGATCAAATGGGAAGCACTGCTTGTTAAGACCTCACTAAATTTCATCTTTTGGTAGATATTATTAAGCCCGAATTCAATCTTAATCTTTTATGTGATAAAAAACAGAGTTATTATATTACTGATGGTTAAAAAAAAAACAAAACAGCATGTCAAGCAAATGGAAAAACAAAACAAACTTTATGAAGACTCGTGATTTTTTGCAGGTAAAAAAAGGTACTGTTAAAGACAACATAAATTTCCACCCCATTTTGAGTTTGCACAATCTGTATTTTAATGAACTAGTCTAAACAAAGACTGACATCAGCCAATTTATTGATTAGTTGGGGGAAAACCAAAGTTGAATGTCATTGGAAGAACCAATTATTTACCATACTCCAAAATGATGGCTTGAGCCATTTTGACTGTTTTTCTCTTTTAAATATTTTATAAATGTCCACCTCTCCTAGATTAACAGTATTATAATTACATAGAAATAATTTCTAATGACAACCATAATAAAGTTTTTTTAATTCCTGTCAATTCTGACTCATAGTGAGCATGTAAGACAGAGCAGTACTGCCTACAGAGTTCCCAAAGTTGTAAATCTTATGGAAACTGACTACCATGTCTTTATCCTCTGGAGCTGGTGGGTTTAAACTAGTAACCTTTTGGTTAGCAGCCCCAAGTGTCACCAGTTCCCCATGGAAACTACAATCGAATATTAAAGCACAGATAACTACTGGCTTTGAATCAGAATAAAGAATCAAAATATTATAGTATTGGGAAATTTACATATCAAGTTTCTTAACTAAATTATATATAAATTACATTTAACAAGAAACAGTTTAATGAGTTTTTTTTTTCAAGGATCTACATATAACCCCCTCCCTGGGGGACGGACAGCAGAAAAGTGGATGGACATTGGACAGTGTAAGACATGACAAAATAATAATAACTTATAAATTATCAAGGGTACGTGAGGGGGGGGCGGGGAGAGAGGGGGAAAAATAAGGGCTCAAGTAGAAAGCAAATGTTTTGAGAATGATGATGGCAAAAAATGTACAAATGTGCTTGGCACAATGGATGTATGTATGGATTGTGATAAAAGTTGTACAAGCCCCCAATAAAATGATTTTTTTTAATGGAGGTAAAATCTCCATTAATAACAAGTTATGGCATATTTTTTTAATTAAGTGAGTTAAATACTGATTGTCCTCTTCTGCCTACTCCATTAAGAAACCAAACATTTTTCTAGAGAGCAACTAAGTAAATTTTTTAAATAATAAAGATATTAAAAATATGTGCCTGAACAGGTATGTAAAATTGATTCTGGGTTTGCAAATGATCCATAGTCGCACAAGGTTTGTGTTGAAGTTTTGATGAAACTCGTTCCGATTTCATTCCATCTTGTAAGTAGCCTTCCTGTTCCACTTTTCTTCTCATAGTAGAATTCCAATGGTTTTTGATAGAATTATCAGTCCTAGGAAATAAAAGTTGATGTTTTAAAAGGAAAGATAATCCACAAGTGTTAGCACTGTATAACTGTTTAACATGTATATGAAACGCTCAAAACAAATATTTACAATTTGGGAAATTACTTTTTAATTCAAAAGATAAAACATTGAACTCTGAAACTAAAATTAAAACATATGCAGACCTTTTGTCAATAGCAACTCAAAAGATTTAATCCTATACTTAGGGGCTAATGAGCTTATGTTAATGGAAAGGAACAACTCACGGAGAATCCAGAAATGGAACCAAAGTACAGGGAGAAACTTGTTACATTGGTGTATGTTTTGCTCTAAATATTCTCACCACCAACAACAAAATTAAAAACATTTTTCTTAAGTAAACTGAATCTTTTGGGGTTTATGAAATAAATCACATAATTACACTAGGTACTACATAAGTGACTGCATATGCCAAGCAGAATTATAGTCACAACAGATACAGCAGTAAGACAAAGAAGGCCCCTGCTCGCATGGAACTTACGTTCTAGTTTGAAGTAAAGCAGAAGGTTGGAGAAAAGCACAGAGAAGGATTAAGAAAATAATTTGAATAAGATAAGAAAAAGAAAGTGATTATGGTCATCTTGATTAGGTGATCAGAGATGTCCTCCCTGAGAAGGTGTCAACATCTGACGAGCAGACAAGAAAGACCCAGCTGTACAAGAACAGAAAAAGAACATTCCAAATAAAGAGAGCAGTAAAAAGTCTAAGCCAAGAATAAGCATGGGGATGGGAAAAAAGGCAAACCATAATCTACAGAATCCTGGTTTTCTTTTTTATTCTTAGAACAAAATACCTATGAGAAGAAAGCTCATTGGCCTCCTGTTTTACCTATGGTTCCATTTATAAAAATGACCATCTTCAAGCTACAGCTATTTGTAGTGTAAATTCCAACAGGACCATTTACTGAAAACCTACTTTATGTTAAGGCACTAAACTTAAAAAAAACCAAACTCACTGACACAGAATCGATTTTAACCATAGGCACGAAATTAGGCTCTATATAAAATGTAAGAAGATACATAAGAGATTGAAAACATTAGCAATTCCAGATCAGGTTAATAATTTGTTTTAAAAACTTTATACTATACCTTAGCATTCCTATCTAAAAAAGACACCAATTTTTGCTCTATTTAACAAGTGTATGAAGTATTAATTTAGAACATACACAAAATCACTTTAAAAATTAGGAAGTACTATACAAATAAGAGATTATAGAAATACTTAAATCCATATTTTCTGATGAAAGTGCAGATTTCTCAGAGTTTGTTGATCTATTGTTTAAAGATTATATCAAGTGAAATTTGAACCAGTGCAAAGTATAGTACATTTAGCATATAATTACCTCTGAGGGAAATTCCATTACTTTAGCTACACACACACACACACACACACACACACACACACACTCCCAAGATTCAAATTATATCCTAACAATTTTTCCTTAAGCACTTTCACAGTTTACATTAGTGTATTTGTTCTCTGGTCTAAAGCAGAGAATTCAAGCCAAATCTCAACCAAGTTTGTACATATACTTCCTGATGGGACTCACATTAAATAGGATTTGGGGAATGTATTAGGTCTATCATTTCGTTGCTACAAAAAGTTTCACTGACAAAGTCATTATATCTCCCTTACAAATCATCTTAAAAGGGTTGTTTATAGTACATTTTAATTCTAAATAGAATAAGTCACGAGATATTTGAAAATAAATATAACAGAAATATAAAATAAATCACATGTAAGGGCAGAAAAACGTGTCTACATTTATATATGCACCTTCCAGGAAGAAGTTTAGCAATTTCTGCCCAACGATTTCCCAACCGCTTGTGTGCTTCATAGATGATCCTGTCCTCCTCTTCTGTCCAGGAAGATTTCTTCACCTCAGGATTCAGATGATTATGCCACCTTTCTCTACACTGCTTGCCTATTCTCCCTTTTAAATGCTTTGCAATTAAAGACCATCTTTTTGGTCCATACTTCTGTACTAATTCAATAACCTAAATAACAGAAAAGCAAAGTGTTAAAACGCAGTATCTTGACAGAATTCAAGAACATAGCTCAAGATTACTAAGTAGATGCATAAGTAAAAATCACCATTAAAACTTACAAAAAATAATTTTACTAACAAATACCACTTCCACATTTGCCAAGTTTAAAACTTGATTTTGGTATTTATCTAAAATACAAATGGGACGTAAAGCGTCTTGTAATTTGAAATGCTTTCACAGAAAATTAATTTGAAACAACAGTGAAAACAAAGACGTGCGCATTTTCTTTTAAAAAAAAAAAACTTGAGTTGAATGCCAAATAAATCAATTTGGAAGCAGAAAGTATCAGCAGAGAGCTACTGGTGTTTCATTTTCCCCTTTCCACACAGTGAAAACAAAAAAGATGAATATGTTACCCTCTGATCCTCTTCTTTAGTCCAGGGACCCTTTATCAATTCTGGATTTAAAACTTTTTGCCATCGATGCTGGCACTGAAAATCAGAACGATTCTGAAAGAATTTTGATGATTTAGTTACTGAGTATACCATTTTTCAAAAAGCAAATCAACCCAAATGTAATACCTTATAACCTTAAGAAGCAAGTCTGCAAAAATGGTGCATTCAACAGCAATTACTCAATAAATATTAAATGCATAAGTCGATTTGATACGCCTTGATGCCAATGGATTTTTTTAATTAAAGCCATTAGTAGTGCTTAGACTACAAATAAAAACAATATACCACATATACTCGAGTATAAGTCGACCTGAATATCAGCTGAGGCACGTAATTTTACCACAAAAACTGCATTAAAAATGTGCTAAAAAACTCGGCTTAAACACGAGTATATATGGTATATTTAAAATTAAAGAACTTATCTCTAGACTATGTCTTATGACACAGCAAACAGCAAAGTCATGACACAGGTACCACCATAAAGAAAGGGAGCTAGGATTGAGAAATAAGAGTGAGCAGACAGAAAACTATAAAGACAAGATACATGAACTCAAATAGAATAGCAGTCTGGATTCATGACTGTATATAATTTTTAAAGTCCCCAAAAATATTATTAGGCTACTAGATAGTATTAAAAAGGATATTTAATATGATGATCCGCCAAGGTGGGTAAAAAATTTTTCAATATACTACTATAGAAAATGTGCCTTACATTTAAATTACATTAAAAAGAAAATGAATTTACCAGGGTCAACAAAATAAACTATGATGTGGAAACATCTCTAACCACCTCCCCCAATGGTTAATAAATGAAGTGTTTATTTAGTTAAGTATGTTATCTCTGCTAACTCCTATTTACAAAGGACTGTCAAAAATTATTCAAAAATTACAAAGATATTAGTCTGTACACAGGACTGCAGATCACCTAGATAGATATAAAGGAATAGATACTTTGTCAACCAATGGTTCTCTTTGGTGCCCAATGTAATTCAAATTACATTCTTCACACAAAGCTGCTTCTGTTATGGCTCTGTACATTAATGCAACTCTATTCTAAGACTATCACTTTCTTCCAAAAAGTGTTTTTGGAGCATTTCTGTTTATCTCATTTACTTTAAATTTCCTAATACTTATTTACCTTCTATTTGTTGACCACCTGCTAATTCCCAGGAAATACACCACATATCCCATATGTTATTTCTCATTCTCACAATACTGGGGGTGGGGAAAAACCCAACCTTTTATCTATATACAATACACAAAATCTGAGTGTCAAAGAGGTTAACTAATTTTTCTAGGACCAGTCAACGAGTAGTACTGATATCTGAGAAATCTGATTAACTCCAAAATCTATTCTCTTCTCATTATTTGGTATTTAAGGAGCAATATAAAAATATAAAAAGAACAAAGAACATATAGAAAGAACATTCACACATTTGATTTCTGAAACTCAAAGAAGTGAACATCAAAATCCAAATCTGAATATCTTCTCTAACTACTGATAGTACAGAAGGAACAAACAAGACCATGAGATAATATTTCATAATTACATTACATTAAAGTGAATATGTGAATAGTAGTATGGTGAACAGAAATAATAATTTTTAAATCAATAACAATAAAATATGTGCCTTACATGACAAACCTTTTTAACAGAAATTTTTCTGATTTGGCAGTTACTGGTTAGCCTTTAGAATATTTCATTATTTTAAACTTTTCTCAAAATATTTCAGTATATATCAACATATATTTATAAAGTGCTATTCACACATTTTTGTTTTTAATTAGGTATCTTGTTAGGCCTCTGGATAAAAGTGTTACTAGAAAGTTAAGACTTACTAAGCCATTCGCAAACAGCAGATGAAAACAATAGAAGAGCTTTTAGAAAGAAAGCCTATATCTAAAATACATAAACACTTACATTTTTTAAAAATAGCAAGTTTAACCAAATGACCTAAATCAGCCATATTTGAAATGTTTTACTTACTTGAAGCTGACTAGCAATTAGAGTCCAATCATCAGTTCCATGCTGTTCAACTAACTTCTTTAACTTATCATCCTTTTAAGACAGATAAGAAAATTAGAAAGCTTCCTCCTACTCCATTTCCCTTCTCCACAAATACCAGGGTAAGTCTAAAGTATTGCTACAAATACCACAGAAGCCTTTATTAAATAAAAATATCAAAAGGTGAAGATATTACTTCATGGTCTAGCCTCCATTTACGTGTAAACACAAGAAGGGTTTTTATCCCCATAATTCTAATTCTTCCACCAAAGAGTTCTGTGCGCTTCAATTCACACCACATCCAAACACCAGTTTGGGCATCCTCCCAGGGCTCATATCATGTGCCTTTTAAATGCTCTTTGAAATTTAGTAACAAAAAAGAAGCTTAAAGAGTCAAGATAAAAGCTATAGGGTGGATGAGGTAAAGTTTCCCAGTAAAATTCTGCTAGGACAACCCTTGCTATACTCAAACAATGCACAGATGCATTGTCATAATGGAAAAAATTCTTAGGGAAACTCCTAGTCTTTGCTCACCAATGCAGTTTTCTCTTTTCTTAAATTGAACTTCTTCATAATAAGTTCTTCACTTTAAGTACTGTGATAATCTGTGTCCTAGAAAATCTATTATGATTTCCCCTTTGGGATCCCCTAAAACAGCGTTGACTTCTCTGGCTAAAATTTAACTGGCCTTCTGTATATCTACCCAGGAGTGGAACTGCTGGGTCATATGGTAATTATGTTTAAATTTTTGGAAGCTACATTTGTAATTGAACCTTGCTCTCTGGGTCATAATGGTAAATCCAAGAATCATTTCTATTTACAATTCATTTAAAAAATCATCATTAGCTTTGATCTTGCTTAAAAGATTGATAGAAGTATGAACTCATTGAGCTAACTAATCTTGATGTAACATTTAAAAAATATCCTTTTTTTTAAGACACCCAACAAAACTAAGACAAATACATTCCTGAAAGAACTTGTCTGTAGTCATCCACTGATCACAGACACATTTAAACACATTTATTTAGAATAAAGCTATGTATGTGTATGCTGGAACTCTAGTAATAATACTTTTTTCACACACACACATTGTATACACACACACGTGCAATACATATATGAATATTTATATAATTTTGGTATGTCATTTGAAGTCCATTTTTAAAAGGACTGAATGAACTATAATACATGTTCCCCTTATTCACAATCCTGTCTTTGTCGAGGGCCACATCAACCTGCTATTCACATCTCTGGCTGAAGAAAAAACGTAGGTTGGTAATGGATAACTTTTCTGATGTTTCATTTTCAAATGTATTTCACAGCTATCCATGAATGATATTATCACAAATAGTTACCTCATCTCTTGTCCATTTTACTCTGTTCCAGAGTTTCTTCAATCCTTTTTGCTGTGGAACTTCATAATCATGATCAGCATACTGAAGGTCATCATCCTCATCCTCACTACAAAGGGAAAAAAATCATGAAATCAGGAATATAATTTTTACATTCAATTATTGAATCTATCTGGGTGTGCAGATATGACTGAAGAAGTTAATCAGAATAAATGACAATAATCACATTTTCTAATTCAAATCATAAAAAAGTAAGAGTCACATAAAAAGGAATAGATACAATTCTCACTGGCATTAGAGACTATATATGTCACCAAGGCTCAACTTATCACCTTGATACCATGCCAAAGGATATTACTTTAATTGTAAAGCTATCAAACTAAAGAATTTTAAGGGAATTAAAGATGAAATTTTATTTCTGTCTTATAAAGATACTAGCAGGAGTATGGCGATATGGAGAAACGAGAGCCAATTAAGACTCTTTAACAATAATCCAAGTAAGAAATTATTAGGATCTGATAGATGGTAATGGCAAAATACTAAGTATGACCAGTTAAAGGCACAATTAAAGAAATAATTCATTAGTAATACCAACCATAATTTTAAAAAAGCAGACTACCCAAAAACAATATTTTAAAGGACAAGATCAAGATTTAGTGAAAAAACACTACTGTGAAACTCAAAAGATAAACATATGGAAGAATATTCAGATGACAAACTTAGATAATATTACAAGGATGACTATTCTCCTTAAATTGATTCATAAATTTACATTAAATGAATAAAATTACCAGTAGATTCTGGGAGGAAAATTAGACAAGTTGATGTTATAATTCATCTGAAAAAAATATATCAGCAATAGCAACTAGAAATACTTTTAAAAACAAAGGATATTAACACTACTCAATAGTCAAATGCATGGTATGGTGATAATAAATAAAACACAATGGCAGTGGTACAGAGACACATAAATCAGTGAGAGAATATGCAGGGGGAAAGCCTAAACTAAATATCATCAGCAGCAGAATTTCAAATCAGTGGAACAAAGATAATTTTTCAATAAGTAATATTAAGATACTGGGTATCCACTTAGAAAAATAAGGTTAGCTTACAACAAAATTAATTCAATTGGGACAAGTACAAGATTTCAAAAATATTGTAGAAAATTTGTATTATCTTTTTCTCTCTTTTTGTCCAGTTTTATTCTCCGCAACATGAAGTTATATCTTTTATGAGGTGGAGGTGTCTTTTTCTGATAGTGACATAAAAAGACTGAACAAAATAAATTTCATCCCACTTTTCCTGGTGTTTACAAAACAATTTTAATTGGAGAATGGTAGTATAGTTCAAAGTTCCATTAGCAGGCCATGCCTCTCCCAATCTCAAAACATACTGGGGTCATTACAAACAAAATCACCTTTTTCTTTCTTATGAGTTGATAGTTTAAAGTTTCCCAGTTCTCAAGAATGCACCCCAGATGGGAGCTTTGGGTTATATGGTTAGATTTCCCTTCGTTGCAAACCCACACACTCAAGCTTCTTAACCTTCTTTTTCCTAAGTGTCATCCCCAATTGAAATCCTATTTCTAATTCTGCTTTCCATGAACTTTCTCGAGTCCCTGTATTTATTTATTTATATATATATAAAAAGAGACTACAGGAAAACTGGGAGAATTTTATTTTCATGCCCTTGGATAAGAGAAAGCTAGGTGTGAAACTCAAGAAACTATATAGAAGAGTAGACCAAGAGGGGAGGGAGGGGGGAAAAATGAGGAGCTGATACCAAGGACTCAAGTAAAAAGCAAATGTTTTGAGAATGATGAGGGCAACAAATATACAAATGTGCTTGGTACAACGGATGTATGTATGGATTGTGATAAGAGTTGTGTGAGCCCCAATAAAAGGATTTTTAAAAAGATTTTAAAAAAAGAAGAGTAAGACCAACTGAGGTAATTGGTCATGGAAATGGAAAAGAGTACACAGTCAAATTAAATAGATGTAGAATAAATGTAGAAATAATAGATTTTGTAACTGATGGAGGATTCAAGGAAGTTCTAAAGTTTCTCACTTTGGGAATTTTATGGAATATGAGACCAAACTTTGGGATGAAGAAGATAATGGAGAAAATAAGTAGTTTTGAACTAGCTAATTCCAAGATACATGAAATAAACAGTTAAACAAATATATAAATGTATATGAATGAGGGGTCTTCAGGAAGTTCTGGAAACAAGGGCAATGTTCCACCTACTATTTTGGTGAAAAATGAGTGAAATCTTAAAAGCTCATAAGCAACCATCTAAGATGTAACTATTGGTCTCTCTCCATTTGGAGGAAAGAATAGTGAAAATTGAGAGACATATGAAAACATTTAGTTCAGTGAACTAATAAACTATGTAAACATCAGCCTCTATGACCCTGAGACCCAAAGAACTGGATGGTGCCTGGTTACTAGGACCAACTGTTCTGATAAGGATCACATTAGAAGGCCCTAGATAAAGCGGGAGAAAAATGTAGCACAGAACTTAAATCATAAAAAAGACTAGGCTTATGGAACCCTCTAAACTAAGGTCTTTAGTCATTCTTCAGGTCCAAAACTGAACTCACCCCCATGTTACAATAGTCGGCCAGTTAAGATCAAAAGGGCAGCATTTACCAGAGGACCAAGTTCAGGTTAGCAAATGAGGAATGGATACAGGAAACATGGGGAGGAGACGGGGTAAATGATGATAACATTGAGAGGATTATAATGGATGCTTTGAAACAAACGTGTATAAATTGTTGAACGTGAAACTAGGATGCTCTGTAAACTTTCACCTAATTCACAAAAAGTGAGGAGAGAAAAAAGGTCATAGAAAAATGAAATTAAAATGGAATTTTCCCATAAACTTTTTGAAGCTGCCTCACACATACATACATGAACACACACACACATACACTGTTTAAGTGAAAAAGTACTGCTACAAAATCTTAGGTACCACATAAGAAGCTGCAGTAGTGTAGTGTTTAAAGCATTCGGCAGCTAATCAGAAGATTGGCAGTTCAAACCCACCAGTCACTCTGCAAGAAAAAAACAAAATGTGGTTGTCTGCGTCCATAAAGATTTACAGCCGTGGAAATCCTAAGGGGGCGGGGAGGGTTCTAACCTCTCCTATAAGGTTGCTATGAGTTACAATGGACTCCAAGGCATGGGTTTAGCTTTTGGTTTAGGGAAGTATCAGATAAGGAACTCTGTTAAAGTGCTCAAGTGCTAACAGAAAGGTTAACAGTGTGAACCCTTCAGCCACTTACAAAAGAAAGAAATGGCAGTCTACATTCGTAAAGATTACAGCCTTGCAAACCCTACAGAATAGTTCTACCCTGCCCTGCAGGGTCGCTATGAATCAGTCAACTTGATAGCAATGGGCATTGTTGCGCTTCTCTACGAGATATTTCTTTCTTTACAACCACAACAACCCAAGAAAAGGACTATTATTATTCCCAATTTACAGAATAGGCAACTTTGACTTGTAAAAGTAATTTACTGCCCACAATCACAAAATATATTATGAATGAATTCTACAGTGCACTATCTTCAATATAGTGGGGAGATGGGGAAGAGGATATCAAGAAGCTGGAAGATAGCAAAAAATGAAAAATCTCACATAAATGATGAAGTCAGAACAAAGTTTTAGTTCTAACAACTATTTTGCAACATTTGTCACATTAACTTCATGGGGCTTTGGTTTATAACTTGTAAAATGAGGAACTTCACACAAGGTGGCCTGATATTTGTATTGTGTGTGCAGGCTATCTAATAAAATTAAAATTTGCTTTTGTTTGTGAAGTTCAGTTCTTCTCCGAACATTCATTCTGATTTTAAAAAGCAAAAGTTCCAAGATTGGTTTAACCTTAAAGTGAAAACCTACTGCCATCAAGTGGATTCCAATTTACAGCGAACCCATGTGTCAGTAGGACTGTATGTCCACCCCCACTATTACCTCTGCTTAGCAGCTAAGTTTGTTAACTGTACGACTCAAGGATTCCTGTTTAACCCCACTGTAATATATTCAAACAACTGTGGATAGGCCCTAGTATCTACTGACATTAAAAACAAAAACAAAAAAAACCTTACTGCCATCGAGTCGATGCTGACTCATAGCGATGCCCTGTGGGTGGCTGAGAGCACAACTGTTGATGGGAGTAAGAAAGCCCTGTCTTTGTCCCACAGAGCTGCTGTTGGTTTTGAACTGCCTGCCATGTGGATCGCAGCTTAACGCTAACCACTACACCAGCAGGGCTCCTATCTACTTACACATAGTGCATAATTTCAATCTTACAAAGTTGAAAAAGGCTTGGATTTCACATATAAAGTATACAGATTCTTTGCAGGCACTGAAAATTCTCTTCAATTATTATTTCTACTGGACCAAAATTCTTAATATCTGACTAAACAAGGTCCTAAGATTCCCTGTTACTCCACATGTAATACTAATCTACCTGCTTGAGGAATTCAGTTCAGCATCTTTTAAGACTCCAGGCTGTCTATGTCAGAAGCCGTTTTAAACAACAATCTACCAGTCCTACTTCTATATATGCCTGGGTTGTTCAACTGCACTGTTCAACAAAAGCAAGGTTTAATGAAAGAAAATACCTTATTTGCCAACATCTTCAACTCTCAGAAATATCTTCCTATTAGCTAAAACTGGTTGTTAAACTGAAGATGCTTTAGAGTCCAATGGGTTCATAAATATCTAAAAAAAAAATATGACCAAACCAGAAAAAGTTATCTGTCCAATTCATGACTATAGCACCTACCCTTCCTTCTTAATGCTGATTATACTTGCCAACCTCCATAAGAAAATGCATGTAGAGACTACCATATTCACCTCTCAGCGCCAAGGACAGTAACTGCCATTTACTATCCAAATTAATGAATGACTTCCCTTACTTTTTACCTCCCCCAAGTACTCCAAAATTACCGAACTCCCTTCCAACTCAAATATAACATCCATCTTCCAATACAGGTGATCTCAGGTAGATATAAGAAAACTTTTTTTTTTTTAATGAAAATACCTCTAAAGGAAGACCAAAGGCATTCCCATTTTTTTAAATCATTTTATTGGGGGCTCATACAATTCTTATCACAATTCATACATACATCCATTGTGTTAAGAACATTTGTACGTTTGTTGCCATCATCATTCTCAAAATATTTTCTTTCTACTTGAGCCCTTGGTATCAGCTCATTTTTTCCCCTCCCTCCCGTCCTCTCTCCTTCACGAACCCTTGACAATTTATAAATTATTTTATCATGTTTTACACTGTCTAACGTCTCCCTTCACCCACTCCTCTGCTGTCCATCCCCTAGGGAGGGGGTTATATGTAGATCCTTGTGATCGGTTCCCCCTTTCTCCCTCACCTTCCCCCTACCCTCCTAGTACCGCTACTCTCATTGTTGGTCCTGAAGGGTTTTTCTGTCCTGGATTCCCTGTGTTTCCAGCTCTTATCTGTACTAGTGTACATGCTCTGGTCTAGCCAGATTTGTAAGATAGAATTGGGATCATGATAGTGGTGGGGAGGAAGCATTAAAGAACTAGAGGAAAGTTGTGTGTTTCGTTGGTACTATACTGCACCCTGACTGGCTCATCAGGGTGTGACCCTTCTTTGTAAGGGGAAGTCCAGTCGCCTACAGATTGACTTTGGGTCTGCACTCCTCACTCCCCCTCATTCACAACATGATTTTTTGTTCCTTGATGCCTGATACATGGTCTTATCGACACCTCATGGTCACACAGGCTGATGTGTTTCTTCCATGTGGGTTTCTTTGCTTCTCAGCTTAGATAGCGGCTTTTTTATCTTCAAGCCTTTAAGACCCCAGATGCTATATCTTTTGATAGCCGGACACCATCAGCTTTCTTCACCACATTTGCTTATGCATCTGCTTTGTCTTCAGCATCATGTTGGGAAGGTGAGCATCATGGAATGCCAGTTTAATAGAACAAAGTGTTCTTGCATTGAGGGAGTACTTGAGTAGAGGTCCAAAGTCCATCTGCTACCTTAATACTAAACCTATATATATATGCACATAGATCTATTTCCCCATCCTCATATATGTACATGCCTGTATTTAGACCTCTATAAATGCCCTTTGCCTCCTAGTTCTTTCCTCTATTTCCTTTTACTTTCCTCTTGTCCCACCATCATGCTCAACCTTCATTTGGGTTTCAGTAATTCCTCTCGGTAACATTGCCCTTGATCAATCCCTGCCAGACCTTACACTCTCCTTGCCTTCGATTTTGGGTCACTTGTTTTTCCCTTGTCCCTGGGTTTGTTAACACCCACTTCCTTTCCCCCACCTCCCCCTCTCAGGCATTCCCATTTGTTAACAACAAAGTCAATCCAAATGCCCCTCCAACTGGTAGAATTTTAAGCAGAAGAACCTGATAGAACAAAATTCAGTACAGAAGAGATTCGTGCTTTGGTAGTGCCTAACCTTTCAATACCCCCCACAAAACTGGTCCCTCCTGCCATCCCAAGCAGTCCAGTGGTGCTTGTCATAGATTCTCCATGAACCCCTCCACTCATAGCCCAACAGCCTCCACAACTGCTTAAGTTTCTTTTTAAGTCAAAAAAATTTTAATGGGGATTTGCCCAACTAAATTGCAAGATAGCTACATCACATCTAATGACTATGAAATCCACCTTCAATTTCTTACCCAAACCTTTGCTTGCTTTAATTTAATATTAAGCTTGAGTGCAAAAATGTTATTTTGAGCAATAGGATGAGTTTCCAAGGAACAATTTTCCTCTAAGTTTATTCAATTTACATTACAATTTGGACTAATTTTTTTTTAACCGCTCTCTTTGTAAGAAATTTCTACATTAAGTTTTAGTCTACTTTTTATGGCCATTGGTTTCAGATAAGAGGAGCCATGTGGTGTAGTGGGTTATGCACTGGACAACTAACAGCAAGATCAGCAATTTGAAACCACCAACTATACTGTAGAAGACTCTACTCCCATAAAGATTTACCATCTTGGAAACCCGCAAAGGCAGTTCCACCCTGTTATTTAGGGTCACTGTGGATCTGAATCAACTTGATAACCAATTTGAGTTTCAGAAACAGTTAAAAAAAATTAGCCCTTCAATGCTTTAAAAAAAAAAACGGTTTGGTTTTTTTTTAAGTATGCCAGTGTTAGGAAACATAAAGTAAAATAGAGTAAAATTCTTAAAATCATCTATTACTGGAATTTTTCTAGAGTCTATTTCTTTAGCTTGGGCATCAAGTTTCTCTACATATTTAAGTTATTGCTGAAAGAATGAAATAATTTTAAAATAAATCTAACTTTAAAAGTTCCTAGGAGCCTGGTAATACCTGTCAGCATCAGTTACAATAAGAAGGTTCCTGAGAACGCCTGTAATCTGCCTAAACAAACATGATGGGGAAAACTAAAAGTAGTCTCACAGAAATTCCACTTTTACCATTAAAGAGACCCACTGTCCAACAAGTATTAGGCAGCAAAAAGATTTGCTTTATTTTTTTTGCTTTTTATGGAAATCATCTTTTATAACTTTCAGCATGTTTATTTTCTACCAACCTTGGTAACATGCCATATAGTAACTAACTAAAATCAGATTCTTGCTCTGTAGGTTAAATAAGTAAGTCATTTTTAGCCTAGAGTAACTAATTTAGAAGACAGCAAAAAAGGTGAAATAATTTTTCTAGTCAGAAAGCAAAAACAGATGGGAAATTTAGTCAATAATTCCATCCCCAAACTTCGTTTCTAGAAACATTCTGCTGGCTTTATTTTATAAGAAAATATTTCTTTTAAACTGTTTAATACCAAAATCCAAATACAACATTTTCTAGATAATGAATGAACAATAAAAT